AAAAAAAAAAAAAAATGGAAACTAGCAAAATGGAAAAATAGAGTTCCAATATTGTACTACACGTACTATAAACCGCCTTCCAAAATAACGCCAACATTGTACTACACAAATTGAACTTCCACAAGCAACACAATTCCCAAATTGCCCAACTGATCGAAACCCACAGTCAGAGACCGATGCGTTGATATTTCTGAACAAAAATATCGAATTCCAATTCTTTTCGGCTCAAACAAGCCATAATAATGACCTTTTAATCATTAATTCCGTATCTAAGTCTTAACTATACATTTATTTTTTGACTAATTAAGTAAACTACAAATTGATCATGATTCAATCACATAGAAAAGCAGTCGCCGGAGGTTCTAACGCCGTCGACTTTGAGCGGCGGCGCGTGGGTGGCGTGACCGACGGATTCCCACCGGCGGCGAGCTGAGGGCCGGGGAAGATTCTCCGGCACGATGGACTCGAGGGAGTTGGTATGCCACGGCGGGCACATTCTTCTGTCGCTCCATTTGGCGACTCTGACGGCGGCCTCGTGATTGGGCTTTTGTAAAAACGGCATTTCTTGGGCAATGGCTTGTTGGCCCAACTCGCTGCTCGCCATCATCACTGAACTCACCAGTTCCAATCCGATTATCACGCTTGCCACTCCTACTATGGATGGGCATTTCCTTCCTAATTTCTCCTCCACTTTTTTGCTGCTATATATATATATGTTATACACATTTGTATATTTATGTATGTAGTTAGTGTTGATGTAACAATTAAAAGAAATAAAACACTTGTACGTATATAGATGTGTAAATATACCATGAAACTTGAGAAGTGGTCTTTGGAGCGAAAGAAGGGCTTGAGGGACGTAGATTCAGGAAGCAGCTTGTTCTAATCGCCATCTCTTTTTCTGATCTAAATTGTTGGAAACCAAATGATGAATAAGGGGAAAAGTCTTTTTGTGTGTGTAGTACACAGATATTATTATTTATATATAAGGAGGTGATGTGTACACTAATTAAATGGATTCCTTCAACCAAAAAGAAACGTACCAAAAACGTTGAGTGAAGGTTGGTGATCTACTGTCTAATTTTTAA